TGTGCAGATGTTTGGAAATAATCTGTCTCTCCATCTGTTAGCTTAAACTTGAAAAATGAGGAATAAATGGATAGTTCAAATAAATAGGCCACTATTAAAGACAAAAACAAACAAACAAACAAAAAAACACCCAAGGGGTGGGGGTATTAGATTGATTGATAGGAAAATAAAGGAGGAACACAGCTGTTCCATAAAGATGTATAATTTGAAAGGCTCTAAGAGAACTTCATACCTGAAAATCCAAACTATATTACAGATGTATTCATATCATTAAATATTTTTTTCTGGAATTTTCAGGGTTGCTCTGCTAATGCAGCTGTTCTCAAGTATTTAGGGACAGCAGGCCCTTAATAAATATTGAGTGGCGTGCTTCTTAACAAATTGAGGGGCTGGAGAACTTAACTTACAGCATTAACTACCCACTGAAGCAGCGGAGCAACCCAGAATTAACTAAAGCAGAGCTGAAATGACAGTAAACATACAAGGAAGTATGATATGATTTTTACTTCATTTTAGGAAGTCATTATTTCTTTATTTTGATTTATTTTCCTACAGCTTCTTATAGAGAAATATAATTCCTTATTTATTAAGGTGCTAAACTGTATAGAGAAAGGATAACTAGAACTTGTTCTTAGAATTATGCTACATATTTATTTCACTTAAATGCTCCTTCGTAGTGGGAGAAAGGGAGGGAAGGAGAGAGAAAAAAAAAAAAGAGAAGGAGGGAGGAAGGAAGGCAGGAAGGGAAGAAGTATCAAAGAAGCTCAAATATCCAATGAGACATTTCTCAAAATTCTTTGGTGATGCATGGCAGACACAATTAGTTGTCTTCTCAATATCCAGCTTCCTTCTTCCTGTCACTCCAATTTTCTTTTGGCAGAAGTGTGCTCATGCGCAGTGGGTTAATCCATTAAAGCCTTATACTTGTTTTGCCAATATTGTTCTAAGATTGGGCAGGGGCCAGTGAAAGGTAAAAAGCAATCATCTGAGCTTTTGATAAAGACTTGCTTTTTTGCAGTGCTCCATTGCCTGCCCCAGACCCTGCTTCTTATCTTGTGTAACTCTGGATTTAGGAAAAAAGTTTTTAGCTAGACTGTTGTTGACCAGGAGTCAGAACAGTGGCTGGATATCCCAGCCACCCATGTACACCTTGCCAGATCCAGCGTAGACCTTGTTTTTGTCTTTTGATGGCTACTTTTCCTGTCTGGGCCACTCAGCCTCCATCCCATCTTTTTGTTTTTCCTTGTCCCAGACCACATACTAAGGAAAGATCGGAAATAATTGACTTGCAGTCATATTTGTGGAGCTCAGCATTTATATGTTGGGGCGTTCACAGTTTTACAGATCCTGAAAGAGCATAGAAAATGAATATATAAGCATTTTCTTCTTAGTTTTCACATGTAAATCATCAAATACAATGAAGGAAATTTGCTTAAAATTGCAGTTGATTTAAAACACACGTATAATGTACATAAAAATCTGAGAATGTGCCCTTAATTTAATATTGATTATAATGAAAGTCTCCAAATAATTTAAAGTAAACTGATAATTATACATTAGATATGTTTTACTCATTATATAAAAATGACCTTTTGATACTAGAGATCATCAGCATACAAAGGAATTAAAGTTAAGGTTTAAAAAGCTCAGAATATTACATGGCTTTAGTAGTGACAAGGCGATGATTTAGAAATGTAAAATTTTAGTTATCATGACAGGAGCTGGCTCTGGTAGAAATGATGTATGAAGACAGGGAATAAGAAGGTCCAAACAAATACTGGCCTACGTACTGGGCCTGAAAGACCCAGGAGCTTCAGAGGCTGGGCTTAGATGAGGGCAGCTGAGCATCCTGCAGTATGCAGTAGTCCAGATGGAAATCATCAATCCTCCCAGATCTGTTCCTTAAACCAGGCTCTGAATCTCATTGTATGATACAACCATCTTCTTTGCCCAGACTGGGTTCCAGGAGAGTTTGTGTCTTGAATGCCCACGTTATCCCCTAGGTAGGCTTAGTATATACTTTATATCTCTGGAGTCTCCACTTCTCTCCATTTCCAGTGCCACTTCCTTGGTCTTTCCTGATTTATCCCAATCAGACTCCATGTTTATAATTGTAGCCTTGTCCGCTTTCAAATCTAGATTGCAGCCTAGTCTCAAGGATTCTCATTACTTTAGGATAAACTCACAATATTTAAAATGGGCTA